CAAAGCATTCACTTGACTGGCGCCCGCCACTATACTGGGAGCCGCACTTTCACCTGTGTCAAGTTTTCGACCTGGTCCGGTTCGCTTGAAATGCTTGTCGACCTTCTTTTTCTTCAGAAAGCTCTTGAATGCATCCATTTCTTATTCGACTTCTGAAATAACCAAAGTATAACATTGAGTACTGGGAGGACTGATTTTCTCTGAACTCGAAACATAAAATGTGGAGTGAAAAATATTCCACGAATAGTCCTTTTATTTAAATCTTGCGAGAGGCTGATACATCTTATTCGAAGTCGATGGCCGGTGTTTCGGCGGCTTCACCATCTTTAAAATCGTGTTGTCAGGTTCTGCCTTGAACTCTTTTCCTTAATTATCCAGCTTTTAGGAATCTTATACCTGACAACATGGCCCTTAAGATGGTAAGGTCGTCGAGACGTCAGCTATCGATATTTAAAGAAGATATACCAATCTCGCGAAAGCCTTGAATAAAAGGGAACATCGTGAATTATGACATTCACTCTCACCAAAAAGCGATATGATAGTGTTAATTAACTCACCGATCAAAATGAAGTATGAACAACCGCTAACTCGTAAAGGGATCTTTATTTCAGACCGAGAGAATATCGAACCTTCACAAGGCTTGATATGGCATCTCAAGTGGTAGATGTACGTTTCGGCATTCTCCTAAGCTTAATCAGTACCATATGCCATTGGCCCACCCCTATACTATTAAAAGTAATTGACGCCGAAGAAGTACCACTCTACGTCAATTGAAATGATTACTTATATTGCGTTGAAAGGTATTCCTCCATATGCCCAGTAACAGCCCTACGCCATGCAGTCGACAATCGATCACTGTGAAAAAACGCAACATCAGGTGATCATTTCACTTGACGTAGAGTGATGTTTCTTCGGCGTCGATTCACTATAGTACAAGGGGCGAGTCGAATGGCATGTGCTATCGATGAGGTTTGCCAGAAACCCGAATACACCTTATCATTAGAGATACCATACCAGACCTCATCAAAGACTCAAAACATTCAGTTTAAACTATATTTTAGGCGAGGTATCAAGAAAGTCGGAGCGCATGTGGCGCAGTGGTTAGAGGTGCACTGCGGTCGCACACGAGGTCAAAGGTTCGATCTCGCGCTCATGGCTCACCAAGCCATCCATCCCTCCGGGGTCGGTAAATTGGTACCAGGCAGGTCTCAGACTTGTGTGGGAGGATAAGCAGCACTGACTTGGTTCAGGGAGAGGCCACCGCGAGTCACTGTAAAGGCCAGATATGCATTCAATCACCTGAAACGAAGTTAAAAATTGAAGTCGAATGCATGGCGCATCCCTCAGGGATTGATCAACGCCGAGAGCTTTATCCTTTATCCTTTTATCAAAAAAGTCGACTGAAAGGTATTGTTAAATATCTTTACTTTTATATGTATTCTGATTATACTCGCCCTTCTATCCTTCTATATCCCTCAAATCATTGTCACTTAGATTACGCACTCATATTCACACGACGACTTGTAAATCTCTTTTGAGTCGCCGCCACCCATATGAGGCGAAGACTTCATTTAGAATCCTTATACACAACACGAATGGAACGAAAATAGCGAATTATCTGATCAATGACGACGTCAATGAAAGTCTGGAAATATCAACTAATCTACTAATTACTTACTGATTTCTTTCTCCTGTCTTTCTTTTTCGTTCCTTCTGTACAAACGTTCTTGTTGCTCTCTGATTGTGAAATCGACTATGACGGGTGAATAATACTTCCAAGCAATTGCAATGCACAAGCAGAAAAAGCCGAGGAGGATTAGAAGGAGAAGGCCAAGGCCGACCTGCAAAAAAATTAATCTCTGAATCAATTTATTCATTAGGTCGCTTTATAAATTTGGCACTAGAGCATTAAAGACCTAATTAATTGACCAGAAGTGATTAAAATTGCATGATTTTGGTATTATTCACCTGCGCATTTTCTCGTGAACATTTGGGTAGACAGCTTACCTATACTTGCTTCATGATGAAGAAGTCGTGGGAGGGAATATGCTTGACCCTCACGCACAAATGTCTCGAATGAAAAAGTGGCAGTGAAGCGGTGCGCAAGATTAATAGAGCTTCCTGTGGATGGCCCAAGTGCGATTGATCCTCCAGACTGCTCTCCCCCTCTTTGAACCTCGCTAACCACTTCTTAGTCGTTCTTCGTGCAGCCTATCATCACCCCAAGCTCCATCGATCTTGCGTCCCACTTCATTAGCATTTTCCTCTACCCGCCATTCGTTTCTGAGTGGCAAGCGAATTTGTTCCCAAGATAGCTCCATCTTAAAGAAAGTATAGGCAATCTGTCTAACAAAACGTTCGAATGCGCAATTGAACGGTATGAAAATCATGCAATTTTAATGAATTCGGATTAGTAAATTTGGAGTTTATTGCTCAAGCGCCAAAATTTATGGAATGGCTTAACATTTACACCGATCAGTCCTCCCAGTTAACGCGTGGATCCCACTACTTGTACTCGATATCTTCCGCACAACGTCCTACACGAGGTCCTCGAACACTTAACGTGCTGTTTCGACTGCTGCTTGAGGATTTCTCCTTTATGAATGTCGAAAAGAAGCTAGTCGAGGCGATTCTCCTTGCAATCCTGGAGGTAACCGGGGTAAGGTCCTGCCTACGGCGCTCGTTCATTGATTGTGAACATAGTGTTAAGAGGGGAAAGTGATCGAACCCGCGTCTCACTTATCACCTTTCTTCCTAGTGAACTGTATCACTAACCACTGCGATGCGATATGTAGCGCTAACAGAAGCAATAAAAGCATGACGAATGTTGCAAAACATTGGACCTTAGACGGGAGCTGAACCCCTGTTTCACCCATGCCGAGAACGCACGCTACCACAACACTATCGAGGTCAGTGCATTTCGTATCGAAGAAAGAGCAGTAGCAGAGCTGCGCTCTCGTTGGTGCAGTGGTAGCCTGCGCTCCTGGTACGGGAGAAACGCGGGTTCAACTTCAGCTTAGGGTCGAATATTTTGCCACCTTCTCAGCTGTATTTTTGTCACACCACACCTCTGCTGAAAACATTGAGATAAAGAACTTGCATAAATTGAAGTATTTTGACAAGCACTAGATCTGTCTTCTCACCTGAATCCTCTCAATATCGTAGCGTTTAGCAACGTTAGTGATGAGGTAATCGAAGTGATGAAGAAGTGCGCTCGAATAAGGATGATTTCCGGTTTCCGTCGAGGAGGAGTCCTGAATAACACTGTCCTGAGTTATACCTTGATCGTCCGATTCTGTTGGTACGACGTTGTTCGAAGGGTTTTGAGAGTCACCCATCAAATCACCAACACATTCACTACAAACAAGATAGTTACAGACTCCTCCAGAGGCGATAAATACACTGCAATAAACAATAACAATAGCGACAAACAAGGTAAGAACGAGCGATTGATCTACGCAAAAGTTTGAGAAAACTCTGCTCGCCCTTTCGGGTCCGTGGACCCACCACCGCTGCGTCGCTAACTCTCACAACGCTGGACGCTCTGCTCCACTTCCCCTGCATCTCTGACCCCCCGCGTGGGAACCTATTGAACGTATTACTGTATCATTTCAGTGAAATTATTCATTTTATTTCCATATGTTGGGCTACATGTAAACAAATTCCGTTGTTATAAGTAAGGAAATAACAACAATACAATTCCAAAAAAAAAATGTTTTGAGCCTAAACGAGGTTGGTACGCCAGGGCCATACACCGGTGTTTCGGAGGTTTCGGCCTCCTCGTCGGTGACCCCCGCCCCACATTAAGCCCTGCATTGATAGCAAGGAGGGAGGCGTATGTGGTGATGGCATAGTGTACAATGACACTGGTCCATCACCACTGTTCAGTCGATGGATTTCGGCTGGTAGACCAAATTATCCATAAGATCGACTGTTTTTGAATGTATTAACATTTAAAACAGTCGATCTTATGGATTAATTTTGGTCTACCAGCCGAAATCCATCGACTGATAGTGGTGATGGACCAGTGCCATTGTACACTATGCCATCACCACATACGCCTCCCTCCTGGCTACAATGCAGGGCTTAATGTGGGGCGTGGGTCACTGACGAGGAGGCCGAAACCTCCGAAACACCGGTGTATGGCCCTGGCGTACCAACCTCGTTTAGGCTAAAACATTCCTTTTTTTGGAATTATTTTGAATGTTTATCACGAGGTTTTGAAAACAGTCAGATCTTATGGATTAACAATACAATTGAACAATAGTACATTCAATGCGTCCTCAGCTAGGAGTCAGAGATGAAGAGGGCGTGGAGCGAACCGTCCAGAATCGCTACGCTAGGGGTGGAGATGCAGAAGATATGGGCCCACGGTCCCTAAAGGGCTAAAGAGAATTCGACTTCGATGAGAATAATGGGACGATCAGAAGCGTTTCTATCGCAGATACGGTGGTAGCAGTACAGTAGCTTCGGTAGTTCAACAGGTTAGCACACGTCCTAGGAAAGATGATACCGGGGTTCGATCGCCGTCGGAGGTTAAATGTTTCACAATACTACCTAGCATTGTTAAATACATTATAAAACAACAAAACCACCATTAGGATCGAAAAATGAGCCCCTACAAGATCTAATAGCTCCTCTTTAACTTTCTTTTTACTAGTCAAACTCTCTTATAACTGGCAAGAGTACAAATATTATTGAGTGATCAGGCAAAACGCTGAACCTCAGGCGGGAATCGAACCCGCGAGCCTCACTCTTTCCCGGGGACGCGTGCTAACCAATTGTTCTACAGTATTTCCTATGTTCTGCTATCCCCTTTCAGCGATACGAGGTATCGATCTGAAGCAGCTAACAAGATAAACAAATCTGTCTCACGTGGGACTTGTGGTTCCCAGAGAGAATCCTCCCTTTCGAAAGGCAGAAAGTGACACTGAAGGAAGTTTGTAGCATATGAACATGTTACAACTGCATTCAAAAAAGACAGGTGAAACCATAGAACTTTAAAGCCCGAGCGGGAGTCGAACCCGCGCCTGCCCGTTTCCGGGGGCGTGTGTTAGCCACTGCGCTACCGAACACCATGGTCGCTTCAGGCACCGAAAGACATGCTGAAGGAAAGAAGAACTTCAAAATGAATTGCAATACAGCCAACTGCACCTGCACGTGAAAAGGTTCCCAGCACAAACGATGTCGAAATAATAGAATTCTAAGCAACGAGACAACATTTCACACACCATATGCCCGGCATTTAGCGCACAATATATATGCGATCTCTGCGTGGTGAGGAAAACTCGTACAACCGTTCGCTGATTCGGCAAGGGATAGGGGAGTGACGCAACAATGGCATTGGAGGCGGTAGGTCGATTGGTAGGCGGGCGATCGTGCGGGTTAGAAGCAGGTCAATAGGCCGCCTCTGCTGTCCCAGACCTCCTAGATGGTCGATCATCGTGGTTGGGAGGTGTTCCAGGGTGTCGGACTGGGTTCAACCCGCCAGCATGGCCAGCCAAGCTGAGAAGTCCTGAGAAGACGTTCTCACCCGGAAAGTCCACCTAAGAGGAAACCGTACCGGAAATGACCGCCGTCTTGGTAGCTACTAGTCGCCAGATGGTAATCTCCTTCTGATCCACAGGGCGTGCGACAGCCCTAACGTGGTGACGACGACCTGAGGAAGCCCCGGCTAGGCTTACGTAGTGGCTCCTGGGAACCAAACAGGCAAACCAGCATATTTCTGTCCTGCTGGAGGTCGTATTATCAGCCAAGACGCGCGCGTCCTTCTGAGTATCCAGGTAGGATCTCTCGATAGCCATCAAGTGACTTGAGCGAACACCCCGGTAAGCTTTCCATCTGCTGTTAGCCCTTGGTAGATTGACATGGTAGGCTCACTCCCTCTGCTGATGAATGCTAAGAACATAATATGCTAAGCGCCCGTCTTTTCTTTGTCTTCAGTGAACACAGGCACCTATGAGTGCCTCGACGATTTTCTCCATTCACCTCGCACCTATCCAGAGCCAATTTTCCCGGTAGAGCTGATGTGAGCAACAATCACAGGAGCTGCAGTGCCGTAGTAGCTTGAACTTCACTTGAATTCAGTCCCGTAATGAACAACTGCCACGCGAGATTTCGTTCTTCTTACCGAGCAAAGAGTCAAAATAACACCTTTATATCTTGCGTTTCGAGTGTTTTCTTAGACCACAGCTCAAATTTCAATATGCCTGATAGTAATTTTTTTCAGCCACGCATGTCAGTGGTCTATCAAAAAGGACTAACTCATAGAGCCATATATATTCTTTGAGCTGTGGTCTTAAGAAAACACTCGAAACGAAAGTTATGATATATTGAATATACCAGCCAAGAGCAATCGAGTGTACAACGCTCTATGTTCGGTGATAATTTCACTGGACATAGAGTGTAAAACGTTCGTCGTCGCTAACTCTTAGTGTGGGGACTGGAGCACCCACACAGAATTAGCAAAGACGAGAAAGGTAACTGCCCGACTGACGAGATCGCAAGATCGAAACACGTGTATCGGGCTCTATAAGTCAGCCCTCATTGACAGACCACTGACATGCGTGGCTCAAAAAATGATTATCAGGCATATTGAAATTTGAGCTGTGTTCTTAAGAAAACACTGAGACGAAAAATATCATATAATTGAAGCTGTTGTTAATTGAGAACTTCTAACTCTAGACGCTCTAATGATCCATCTTCAGAGTGTCCTTTTTTCCGCTAAGTGGATCCCATACTTCTTAGCATTCAATTCGCTTTTTTTCATCCTCTTCTTTGGCGTCGTAGAATATTGATTGAGAGAGTCTCCCTGCAATCTCGAGGATAGCCTGACTGTGGCGTTCCATAGGGCGTTGTTGGTGACTGCCGCAGGGAGTTGGGAGATGGAACTCGTCTCTACGCGCGCTGCAACGTGCATCACAACCACTCGGCACCACTGTTCACTAATGTTTCCGTAATTCAATAAAAATATTTGCGTTAGCCGGGATTCGAACCCAGACTCAGTCTTTCCGAGAGCACGTGCTAAACCGTTGCACCACCGTCGCAGCTGATGAAGATCCAGGCAACCTCATCCATAACTTTTGCCCAAGTCGCTATTACTCATTAACGCTACCTAAGTAGCCGTCTATAAATATCATGTGTGATTTTTGGCCTTTCAGAAAAGTTGGAACCTATCTCGACGACTCTCCCAAAAGCTTCAACGGCGGCACCGGACATTCTTGATCTCCGCTTTCCACCGTCCGTCATCCAAGCGCTCGTCAAGCAGCTCCCAAATAGGACCCACACACCACGTATGAGAAGGATTCGCCGCCCCGACGATGAGTCGATAGCTTTCATTGACGCTCCGCCCCCTACTCAAGTCATCTGCACGTCGAGGGGGATCGGACGAGTTTTCAGCGGTCCCATGAATATTTCGCACCCTATCGATGCAATGATTTCCCACCCGTGTGTTCGTTTTCGTTCGTGTGTTTTAAGTTCTCTGTGTTTTGTATCTCGAGTGATACCTTGTTGAGATCGAATCGATAAAATCAATAAATCGATCGATTCGATCGATAGGCGACACTCGAGCTGGAGCTGCGTATTTGTGGTCGAATTGTATGATGTAACTGCTGGTGTAATTTATTGATTCTTTTTACAGCAGATTATGCCCAAAAATAAGGGAAAAGGAGGTAAGAATAGAAGGAGGGGGAAGAACGAGAATGATTTTATGAAGCGTGAACTCGACACGAAGGATGTCGGACAAGGTGTGTTTCTTTTTCGTCTGGTATCTCTTATTTCTCTCCTTCTTTTCTTCTTTCCTTCTTTTTTTCTCTCGTTAGAGAACGCTATTACCTATGTGGATGCCTTACAGAGTATGGTCAAGTCTCTAAAATGCTTGGTAATGGACGGGTGCTGGCGTTTTGCTTCGACGGGAAACAACGAGTTTGTCATATTCGAGGAAAATTAAGGAAGAAAGTGTGGATCAACACGGGCGACATTATCCTCGTTGGGCTCAGAGATTATCAAGACGACAAGGTTTGTTTGATTTTTCGCGAACGTTGTGAAAGCTTTGAGGAGTTGGTGGCCGAGTGGCTAATGATACTCGACGCGGAACTACTTACAGCCTCTCAATACAGCGGCAGTTCTATCCGGGGACGCGTGCTCTACCACTACACCACCGAGGCACGTTTGCCCGACCACTCATTCTTCAACATCTCAATGTTAGCTGTCGGCCATTTTGTGGTCGGGCAAACGTGCCTCGGTGGTATAGTGGTAGTGCACGCTTCCCCGGATAGGATGAAACGCGGGTTCGATTCCCGCCCGAGGCCTCGTTTTTGCTCACCACTCAATTCTTTTAGGTATATAGAAAACACCATAACAATGCGAAATGCATTAAAAATACTATTAACACCGGCAATCAATAGCCAATATCCTGCGGAGCGCCCTACCTGGCTACCTCCAAGATTGCAAGGAGTCGTTTTCGATCAATAATCTGTGGTGGTTGTGAATAAATAAACCTCGAGCAGCAAGGAGACGAATCGAATGATTAAGTAGTAGGATCTAACAGTGGATGAAAAGCTGATATATGGGTCAAATAAAGTGGTTAAGTTAGTAGAATCGTGAACTTTAGGGATAGTTTGTCGCAGAAATTCTTGAAATTTCGACAGTTTTCAGGGTGATGTAATTCTTAAGTATACTCCTGACGAAGCCCGTCGCCTTAAAGAGAGGAATGAATTACCCGAACACGCGAAGATTAACGAGAATGACGAGCAAGAGGAGGGAGAGATTGAATTCAGTTAGTTTTTCGTCCAGCTTAGATTTTATGTTCTTTCGAGAAGTTGAAATTCTTAGGAGATCTCGGGGCCGAATCTGGCGATGAGGAAGGTGAAGAGGAAGATGACAACATGCCATCAAGTGGTAGTGATAAGAGCGACGAGGAAAGTGAGGACGAAGAGGAAGGAAGCGAGAGTTAGTTAGCCATCTTTTCGTCACTGGTTGTGCCATTTTGAACATTATCCTCTAAACAGACACCGGTTCGTTTCCGCTATTTAGCACGGAATTGAGAAACAATCCCTTTCCGCTGGACAAGAACTTATCATAAGAGCGTTAGTAATTATTCGAAAGCGTAAATCTCTAGCTACTGCGCATACGTGGCCGTTTTTTTGGAAAGAGTCCTTCTATAATGCTGTAAAATCCAAAATAAATTATGTTTTGCATTGGCCACGCGTTTCACTATCACTTCGCTATAACCACGACAGGACGCATGAATGTGTAGAGGAAGTCTTATGATATTTAAGTGAAACGCTTTATCGGAGTTTTTTTTTTGAAGTGGAGAACTTATTCCCAATTGAATAACAAAAATCGCACTTCACATATGAGCCGAATAGGCGTCATCGCCCGGTGCCGTGTTCAATCGCGGGCAGCTCCCCCCACCCCGTGAAACTGGCCGAAAATCAATTCCCACATATGTGAATGAATCTTATTTTCCCTGCTTCATTTAAAGAAAATAACTTTCCAAAAAATAAGTATAGCGTTTGAATTGTTGAATTTTACTCTATCGAGTGATTACTTATAGTTTAAAGGAATAGCTCTATCCTGCGAGAAACACGGCGCGTGAGAAATGTTTTCTTCTCGCTGAAACGTATAAAAAGACTTTTTAAAAACGACCACGTAGCGCAGTAGCCAGAGATTTAATGTTCCTAATGACTACTAACACTCTTAATGACAACGTCCACCAAAAAGAATCGTTTCTTCATCCTATGCCACCTAACCGACAAATTCCTAGACAGCTACGAAAGAGTGATAGCAGAGCTGTGGCCTCGGTGATGCAGTGATGGCACGCTTCTCGGTATGGATGAGGTGCAGGTTCAACTCCCACCTAGGGTCGAACGTTTTGCATATTGCATAGTCACCCCTATATAGTTAGAGCAGGCATTTATCAGAAAACGTATTCTGTCACATCTGCAATAGTATTGTGCAGTAATGGTGCGCAAGAGTCTTTTTTCGTTACAAAATTGCATTATTTACTGTAGATGGAGATCTGCAAATGTTTTGCTTCATAATGTCGATATGAGGTTAAAGGGGTGAATCTCTCCGCAGTGATCAATCCGCAAAGGATACGCCATGCATTTCACTTCATAAAGCGTCGTTTGAGGTGATCGGATGCATATCTGCCCTTGACAATGACAAAAGCCTGCCGATGTATCGAGTTAGTGTTTCTATCCTTCCAGACAATTCTGGTATCAATTCACAATCCTGCATGGATGGATGGCTTGGTGAGCTGTGAGCGCGGAATTGAACTAGCGCCCACGTCTGCGTTGCTCTTACTTCCAACCTTTTGCACCATGCGCGCCCTAGATTAGGAGGGAATAAATAGAATTCTCATTGTGGTTATAGGTAGTGCATGGAGTTGTTCACGTATTTCACCTTATGGTTTAGATTTCGGTGAAGTTTTTGATAGGTTCTTCATCAGAGGTCTCCTACTGATACAACTTGGTTATCAAAATTCATTTCTCAACTCTTCAAGGTCAAGAAATTTCCCGCTTTTTTCAGACTTTCCGTAATCATTAGGTACTTAAATCTTGGCAATTTCAATCCGTTGAGCTCAGCATTCGGCGCACAATTCTGCTTGACTGAGGGATATGGACGGCTGTCTATGGGATTCCACAGCATTCTCCATAAACGGCACTGAGGCGGCCAGGGTTTGCCGACGGTCTCCTAAAGGACTTTAAGTAATTATTTGGCTGCAAGGGTTTGACGGTTATGAAGTTTGGTCTTCAAAAGGGCATCGCAGAGCGCTGAAGGTTTGAAGATAAGTTTGGTTCTCCGAAAGGTCATTGTAGAGCGCTGGAGGACCGAAAAAAGTATTACGTTCAGCACTCGTAGACTTAGACTGCGGAAGTTTGGGCTTTATAGCAAGTTTATTTGGCAATCTGTAATGGAATGGAGGACTATTCCCATAGAACGATAGGACAAATTTTCTTTCAACATTCTAATACGCAAAACCGAGAGATTTCTTCGGATCAGAGGAAAAGTTCCCATGTAAATAGTCAAGGCATGTGCGATGATACTCGTCGAATGTGGAACACAATTTTGTAATCGCTGTTACACTGCGCTGAGAAGACCAAAATAGATACAGAGTGAAAAATCGAAATCCCTGAAACTTAGGCTATCGATTGACCGAGCACTAAAGCTCTAAAAAAAGCAGTAAAGCCTTGTCAAATAGTCTGGGAAATGTATTCCAACGACGGAATTACACTCTTCTACCTTACTGGGTGGAATCTCTGCTCTGATTAGTAAAATTCGAGTTCAATGTATACAAATGGTCTTTCGGCAGTATCTGAGTAGGAAAGTCGTATTCGCTTATAAAAATAGCACAGGAATAAATCTTGACCACAAGTAGAACTACCTTTGTTGCAAAAAGGAACTCGTTTTTTTAGTGCAGCGCATCAGAAATCTAGGGAACTGTCGCATTCTTTTTACCGCTGTTGTTTGTTTGTTAGTCTAGTCCTCAGAGAAGGTAAAATAATTACTTTGTTGTCTTAGTGAAACAGCAAAGAACAATTGAAAGGAAGATCTTTTTTTTGCTAATCCCTTCTTTTTTACTGCTATACGATTATCGTTTTATATTTTATAGGCGAGGAAGATTCTGATAATTTCATCAAAGAAGAAGAATTAGCCCGAGGACATGGACTAAAACCCAGTGGACGTGGAGGAAGAAATAAGTACAACAAGAGAAGATGAGTTCTGTTGATGGTGGCAGTGTAACCGTCTTCAAATGTTCTTTGTTCTTTCCCTATTGTCAACCTTTCTGGAAGCGTCGATATCTGCAATTGCCTCCCATTACTAAACTTACTTCGATTGCAAACTAAATATAAGATTGTATTGGTCAATTGTGTTAGTCTGAAGACAACAGACTTCGGCGGTTAATTATGAACATTATAATGCTGTTTTGATGTTCAACTAGAATACTGATTCTAGATTCAGCTAAGAATCATAACTTCGATAGAATCAAAATTTTTGCAAAATGGCACTTCTCAGTCTGTCGCCCTTCGCTGAGCGTTTT